TACCATTTATTTTCTCCTCATCAGTTTCCTTGTCTGTAATAAATTGTGACAGTGCTTTTGCTTGAGTTTGTGCACGGCATAAACTCCATAGGCCAATTTAGTAAGCCAGGTTAATGTGATCATGCCTGATTGCTCTTTAAATTATTATCTAAAGAGCATTAGGGCCCAACAAGATTTCACTTTGATGTCAGCAGACAGAGGTGAGTATATGTTCGATGTACTGAACAAGCTCATTCTTATACATAGCATATCTTTCATATTAAAATCATACAGAATGAGTAACTCTGATGTCCTGCATCATGGGAGTCAATTAATACATTACTAGCAGCATTCCCTGAAACAATTTTCATCTCCTTGATGATGGCACTGTGCAAATGTCTAATGGAAATAATACACAGCTATCTCTAACACTGTTACTTCTGTTGTGGGAACGGAATCTGATAAATTACAAAAAAACATTTCGACAACTTTAAATGAAATATTATTGTGATCATATTACCAGAAATCTAGTGGAAATACAATTTTAAAAAGTGAGTTTAATCTGGGTAAATTTATGAATAGATTTAAGTGGTTTCTTTTCCTTCAAAGGGCAGGAGTTTTCAAATTCACTGCACGTATTTCTTTTCCTTAAATTTTAGTTTTTCTTTCAAGTTAACTCAGTGCTTATGAATAATGCCAAAATGATAGCCACTGACTTCTCAGAGTGTTTGTCTGAACAGATTCAAATAAAGCAGTGCATAATTTCCTTTACAGACTGCCCTGTCATACAGACACTTACCCAGGAGGGAAAATAACTGTAAAAAGAGAACATGTACTCAGAAGTACCTGTTGATTTAAGCCTAATGGAAGGTGGTCAACATTAATTCCATCCTATTAAAAATTATCCACTAAAAAGTGCATAAATAAATTCTATGCTAATATTTCAGATGCAGAAGATAAATGATAAGGTTTTGAAAAAGCATGCTGTTCTACTCATAGATGTAGAGCTCTGCTTCCTCCAAATCAGCACTCTTTCTGCCTGGATATATGGGCAAAACTTTGAAGATGATGAGGCTTTCTCAGGACAGAGTCAGATGAAAAATACCATATTGTTACATTACCCTGCACTGCCATAGAACAGTCGCGAGTATTAAATTTTTCAGCATCCTTTTCTTAACAAAAAAGATCTGTAGTTGTTTGTGTGTGAGCATGCATTAATTTGACAGAGGTTTAAACAACAAACTTGTAAAACATAGGTTATTAATTGGCAGAAAAATATCTGGTAAGCTGAGGTTCTGGGATTTTTGTTGGACTTTTTTGTTGGTTGGTTGGGGGCTTTTGGGGTTTTTTGTGGTTTTTATTTTTGTTGTTCTTTTGTTGTTTATTTTTTAATTTATTTTCTTTGGTTTTTTGTTTGTTTTTTTTTTCTCTATTTTTGCTACACTGGAAAATAGAAGAGAAATGTCCACTACACTGAAAAGGACTGTGCAATCTTTTCCTATGCACTCAGTACAGTCTGCATCCAGTACAAATACCATATGCCTGTCTCTGCAAACTTGAGGACAGACGGCAAAAAAATTCTCACTGAAAGCAATTGTGCAGGTGTGCAACACAAGAAAGATAAGATGCATTTACACAGTAGGAATGCAAAAACATATAAAGGGAAAATGCCTTATGCAGCACAACCAAAACCTTTGCTAGTACTGTCTGGACCATGTTGTTCTCTTGAACTTTCATTTTATTTTGCTGCCTCTGTATGTCACTGTTGAAACACAGCAATAAAGAAAGGTTATGGACATATTTTAGTGCTGGTGGGGCTGCACCCCCTTCAGCTATACTTGCATAAGGGCATTTAAAACTGCTGCCTTGTTTGTGGGTGTAAATTCTGCTGGAACTTGTTTATGCTCAAGGACCTGATCCTCTGGTGATTTCTGTCACCATTCACTGACACCTGTGATTTTGCACAAAAACTAATCATGAACTTTTTGTCTTCATCCACACGTGCTGGTTTTGTCTGGCTTTCTGGAGTTTCACAGTACCAGGAAAACAAGTAAAGCACTGCAGAGTAAATGAGCAAGCCTTATTTTACTCCCAGCACCCTGTCCATTTTCATGGGTCGCATGGTAATATCATACATTAATTTTACTTTTTAGACTAGATCTGCTTAATGAACGTTGAGCAAAGAGGGTTATCCTCTGTTATCAATCTAATGGATTTTTATTCTTCTTCCAGATTACACAAGCAGATTCCCAAACTTTAATAAACAAGTTAAATGCTTTTAATGTGTAAGCTTCAGCCACTATTTCAAAATCACCACCTGTAAGCTAAACTAATCCCCATCAGTTTGTAAACTGTATTTTGATTTGCAACCTGACATTCCTTGAGATTGTCATTTGAAAACAGACATGAAAGGAATTACATGCCCTGGCTGATAACAGAATACATTATTTCTGTAAATCTGTGTTCTCTTACAAAAGGGATGCAAAATTAGCTAGTCACCCTCAACTGTTTAGTGAAACTGTCAGCTGATTTAATAGATACATTAAAATCCTATTTATAAATTACTGGACATTATTAGTACAGTAGTTCTATAACAAGTAATATAAATGTCAATGCACAGGTGTCCTGATAACATGGCTAGAAGAAGATAAAACCCTTGTAATTTCAGGTCACATGAAACATCATACACTTTATAATATACTTATTACTACTTAAAAATATATAACATTAAAATTATAAAAATAATTAAATTGAAAATAAATACTTTTGGAATAAACATGTAATTTTGGTGAATCATTTGATTCTGCAGATTTAGTTCTGCAATCAATCCAGAACTCAACTGCATTTAACATCTTAAAAATTTTATGTGATTTTAAAAAATTGCATGTGATCTAAAGATACTGATTAGTGACTGTTGGATATATTTTAGCATGCTGACAATGGTTTGAATTTATATGAAGTTTGGCTTTTGCTATTTAAAAGCACAATTTCTAGAAGGAACTTCTCTCTTTCAGTGTTATACCTGCATTGAGAGTTTTGTGGAAAATAAGGGGAAAATACCAACATCTCCATCTTGGTTTTGTTTATTTGTTTGTGTTCTTTTTTTTTGTAGGAGATTTGGCAATTATGACATAGAAAGACTGGCAGGGTTTGTTGGGTTTTTTAAGATAAAGGAAATAGTTAATATAGATAAAACAAATTGTGATAAACATCAAAATAAACATTGTTGAGGAAAGTTGTTACCTAGATTTAATTGCTGTCCTCTAGAAGCAGATGTTTTAACATATAAAAAGGGGTTTGACTTTTTGGCTTTCCTCATACTTGAAAAGTGTTGCACAATTTGTAACAGTTCCAAAAACTCTTAAGAGGTAAAAATATTCCAGATGAATCTGTAATAAGTGTTAGTCTTAATGAAAATATTCCATTTGTTCTAAAGTTGCTTATAAGGGTAATGTCAGTGGAGCAAAAACAGGACAAAGGAAGAAGCTGACTCATTAGTACGTTGATAATAGTCAATTTTGTGCAAAAGTTACATTTTTTTGGCAGTTTAGAACTGACCCTAAATGACTACCAAAAAAAACTTACACAAAGGAATAAAGACTAATGAAAACATAGTGATGCATCAGTAAGATCTGTCTTTTGACATTAAAGGCACAGCAGTCACATTGACTGTGCTACAGCACCAAATGTGATGAGAGTCCTTGCTGGCATCTTCAGCAAGGTGCCAGAACAAAGGTATGTCTTAGAGAAAGTGTAACTTGTACCCACTGGATATCACAAATATGATTTTTTTTCCCATTATATGGTCCCCCCTTCTTCAGACTTACTCACTGCATTAACTTTGTGATACAAACACACTGCTTTGCAAATTGCTTTGACCAATACATTTTAGGGCTTAACACAAATGTCTTCACGTGCAATATCCAAGTACATTTTTGGCTGCTGTGTTAAAAAATATTGTGTTTTATTTACACATCCTCAGAATATTTTTCTGGAAGATTAGGAGGAAAAATTAATTTTCTATTGATTTATTTATATTTAGGGAAAAATAAAATTTCCACTTGTACACTGAAAAAAAAAAGTTCACAATAGTATTAAAGTAAAAACTGAAACATGATGACTCATTTTTACAGTAGGTGAATTTGAAACCTTGCTGTCTAGGGAAGTGGTATTTAGGGACTCAGGAAAGAAATTCCTGACTTGTTATTTTCACTGAGTAAAGTCCTTTACTTAAAATTATACACAGCATCCAATTATACACTCTGCTAAGATTTTCTTCAGATGTCCTTTGCAGCTTTCCTATCTGAAAACTCTAAATTCACCACCCTCACAACCATCAAACAGTTTTATGTCAATTACTTACCCCCTCTTACAGAAACAGTGGACATATAATGAGAGAGGGAATTGCAAAAATTCTCTGCAGGTATGATTGTGCATGTCTACACACAGTATAAAAGCTGTAGTGCAGGACTTTGAATTATGAAGCAATAAAACATATTAGAAATACTTGAAAACAATCTGAAAAATCAGAAATAAAAGTAAATGGTTCTGAGACATGAGACAACAGACCAAAAATGATGTGTCTTCATTAGCTGAAAATGGACTTGGAATAACCATATCAACCACAGGAATAATTGCTTATTATGGGCATAAGATTTAAAATTCATATCTTATCTCTTGATATCAGTACAATGTTGCTAAAACTCAAATATGCTATCACAGTCGTTTCAATTAAAATTAGTGGTGAAATACAGATTTATATCAGAACTCTCTTATTTTGTTTTTTCTTATATTATTGTTGTTTCTGTTGTATTTGTTTAATATGAAAAGCAAGAATAGGGAAATAAACATACAAAGACAGAAAGTATATAGTGACTACAGGACAGGCTGGATGACAAAAGCAATGAGCAGAGGGAACTACTGCCGGTAGATTTGTCCCACCAGAAACAGGTACACATTTATAATACATTATATTACTTCTCTGTATCATTTGAACTTTCAAAGAAATAGTAAAAAATTACCTTTCCCACATACTGAGGTTCAGAGCCCATGTACTCCTCCAGCACAAAAAACTGATTCCACACCCAGCCTCGTTTGACTCGCTGGGCAGATGATCTCCTCCCTGGCACTGGGATAACATTTTCTCTTGGCTGTGCTTCCAAAATCTCTTGTGCTTGTGGGTGCAGTGGTGTTAGGAGACCTCCATCGAACAGGACCCAGAGAAGGAGGGATAAGCAGTTCCTTGTGAGCATTGGCAATGGCTTCCCTACCGCAAGTAATAAAAACTCCAGCACTTAATGCCGAGCACAGGAATCCAGCTTTGAGGTGTCTGTGGCCTTCACCACTTAGCTTCTGATTTTATTGCAGAAATGCTAATGCAGGCATTAATCCTCCTGATGACAAGGTATTTGCCGCAATAAATTCCATCTATAGGGACCTATAAAAGAGATTTACATGCAACATCAAATTACATAGGATTACACTGAAGCATTCATCAAAATTCTCACACCTAGTTAGTTTCTAGAGACAGAGAAAAATATTAAGATTCACAGTTTAAAAGAGATTGCTATTTTCATTGTAGCACTGAGCTGCTCTAGAACATTGTTTAGTTATTACCTCATTCTTCCTCTGCTTAGCATTACCTTTGTGTCTGTCTGAGACAGGGCTGTAGCATTTGTTTTAGGATCAGTTTCCCATCAGTGGTATCCAAGATGTTTACTCATTTTTTTTTAGCTTTACTCAAATTTTACTCAAATATATTTTATTCAAAAAAGATTTACAAACAAAATACTGGAGAACAGGGGATGCACTCTTTCACCCTACTCTCCAGGGCAAGAACTTTTGCTCACTTTCTCTGCCACAAAAGCCTCTTCAAATCTTCTCTACAGTGTGCTGGTTGCCAGGTATAAAAAAAATAACTGCCTGTAGGACTTCAGATAGATGCATTTTACATTTTAAAAACAAAATATAATTTATAGCACTATGGACTTCACCACTTTGTTAGAGTCATATTGTGTCATTGATTTTTAAGCATAGGTTTCTAGGAAATCAATAGAGTTCTGCTTAAAAAGCAATGACATTATATGGACCTCAAAAGAGAAGAATAATAAATTACTTAACCATATATATTTTTTCTTTTCACATACTGCCAAAGGTTGTATTTCCCTTATGAATAATATTATTACTATCCATAACAATAAATAGCATAGAAATTCTTATTTGTTGGGTACATGCTGAAGTATTTAAATAGAAACGATTTATAATCAGGAACCTGGAAGTCTTAAAAAAGAAAAAAAACAAAAACACCCTAGAAGAATAACTGCACTTCCTATGCTAAATTTAGGGTGAAATTTTCTGTTCTGATTTGAAAGGCTATGTTTGAGGTCTTAGTAAAAAAGTAAAAAACCTGGTGAAATGTATCTACTGAGTGTTTTAATTCTAACTTCAGAAAGGATAAAAGATGAGGAAAGAACTCCTGTCTGCTCAGAATCCTTTAAATAAAAGTTTTTCTAAGTTATGTTCATGACATTTCGATGTTTTTCATCTACAGTAAAATAATGTTTTGTGCAATGAGTACAAACTTCTTACTTGCACAGTCATTTGCAATCAATGAATTTTATTCCAGCAAAGGAACCTTAAGACATGAGCCAACCACAACAGAGATCTGCATTCAATATATTTGGTATGAATTTATTTTTTACTGAACAGTTCAGATGTGGTTTTCTGCTTCTGCTTTCAATGTATTCAGTGGTATATAACATCACATTCAGACTGTGTTCATCCATAATTCTGTTCCAAGATTTCCAAACTTTTTTGCCTCTCCTGATCCATGGTTGTAGAGTGCATGCCTTGTTTTTATGGCAAAATCATAATAATCATGAAACATAGCAAAAATTAAAACAAATCAACTCAACATATCCTTTTGAATTGCCCAGACATAGATGGGAGGTGGAAAAAAAATCTTTAAAAAAACAGGGTGGGAAAGTCTGCACTGCTTCAGAAATGCCAAAATCTTGTTGTAGTCAATTTAATTGCCATACCACTTCTCTTTGCTCAGAAGACTCTGTACATTGCAGGTCTCCCAGCAGAGCTCTGCCTCCGGCCATGCCTGTCAGTCAGGGAGCTTTTAAAATGTTATACAGCACCAAAAGTAATGCAAAGAGATTGAAAGGCTTCAATGAAAGGAGAGCAATTCCCCCTCGGCTGGAATGTTAGTAACCAAGTGCAAGACACAGAGCACTTTAACCTCCTCTCCATTGGTATCCCAGACAGCCTCCCAGAATGCCTACTGCAGAGTCAGGAAAGAGCAATGCCACTGCTTGCTTCATTTCCTACAGCTTCAAAAAGATGATGAATGGGAGGGTCAGAGAAAAAATGGGAGGCTAATGGATGTTGCAGTACAGGATTGTAGCACAGATGCCCTCATCAGCTGCGAAAGAGTTCAACGTGAAGAATTTCTTTCAACTTTTCTTTTTTTTATCTTTTATTTTTTCTTCTATTTTTTAATTTAAACCTCAGCAAGGCAAATAATTGAAACTCTCATATTTTGGCACTTGAAAGAATCACTCCAGCTTGCTGTTCTGTGACATTTGTGCCGTAGGAAACTGAGGCCAAAGGTTCTCCCCCAGTAGCTTCTTCTTCCTCATAATTCATTGCTGGCTTTGCAGGAGGCTTTGTCTGATAGAATATACTTTATAGCACCATTGGAACTTGTACAGGAATTCAAAGGCTAATATATATGTCTTATTCTTTAAGTCTGTTCTTATTGTTTTGCATTTTCTTTTTAAGCTATGTCAAAACTTGTCTTAGTGCTTTTATATTGTCAAATACTCATTGGTCCCTTATGTACCTTTGATCAGAAAACTCCTAAGACAAGTAGGAGAAAAGGATTTAGAAATCCACTCAGAACAATTAACCATAAGGAAGGCACTATATTTCCTAAATTTTTAGGATATTATTTCCAGTGATGCTCATAAAGGAATACTTATCCAGTGAGATAGTTGTGAACAGACATGCGCCCTCGTTGCATCTCTTTCCTATATATTACAGAAGTACAGATGGTCAGATTTTTCTGAGATCTTGGGGTTTTTTCAATATTAGCTGTTTCAATATTAGCCACTCATTTCTTCCAACTAGCTTGTAAGGATTTAAGTACCATTATGCATGATCTAATTTACCCATAGAGATACAAAGGGATACCCTGTATGAATTTAGCCCCACATATGCTTTTATAACCTGTGATTATGTTTATTCATTTCCCCAGTTTGATAAAGGGAAGTAAATGACCCAAAAGCAAGCATGGACAATCTGTTAATACACAATTATTAAGAAATCTTGATCATATTTACTGTGTCCCCCAAACTGCAGGCTTAGAAATGCATGAAATGCAAATGATGAATAAAATATCACTACTAAAATTATTTATTGGGAATAACAAAATACAGTATAAATGGTGCTCCTGCAAGAATTTTGATTCTGACCTGGGCTATACTGCCATTAATCTAAACAGCCTGAGCAAAGAAATGCTTTTGGAATACAAAACTGATGCATGCCATTGCTGCTGCAACAACCCTTTATCACTGGTACTGCAGACACAAATCACCTCACCACGCTTGGCAAAGGTTATCCCTTGCAGAGAGAACAGCCATAGATCCTCTGCAATCACTCGTATGCACATAAGGCCTCACGTAGAGAAGTATTTGAAAAGAAACTTTAAATGATCTTTGATCTTGTCATGGTTTAATGCCAGCCAGCAACTCAGCCCCACCCAGCTGCTCACTCACTCATGCCCAGTGAAGAAGAGAATCAAAAAGATAAAAGTGAGGATACTCATGGGTTGAACTAAAGGCAGTTTGATAGATAAAGCAAAAGCTACAAATTCAAGGAAAGGAAATAAGTTCATTTGCTCCCTTCCCATTGAGAGGTAGATTTTCAGTCATCCTCAGGAAAGCAGAGCTCCATAATACATAGCGGTGTCTTGGGAAGGAAAATGCCATCACTTCAAATATTCCATCTTTTCTTCTTCTCCCCAACCGCCCAGCTTTATATGCTGTCCGTGATGCCCTATGGTCTGGAATATTCCTTTGAGTCAGCTTGGATCAGCTGTCCTGGCTGTCTCCCCTCCCAGCTTCTTGTGGACACACAGCCTCTTCACTGGCGAACTGGGATGAGCTGCAGAAAAGGCTCTGACTACGTAAGCAGTGCTCAACAATAGCTAAAACATCCCCACGCTATCTACACTGTTTTCAGAGAAATTCACAGCATAGCCTCATGCTTGGCTATTATGAAGAAAATTAATTCTATCCCAGCCAAAACCAGTGCAGACCTGCATGATGTATCTACTTGGATCAGACCACAGATGCACTGCTGTCACACACAGACAAGCAGGAAACACTAAAGCTCCATGATGCACTCAAAATTGTCATCAGTCCAGCAAGGCTGGTAATTGAACCTCCATGAATGGAGGCAAATTGCCTACTGACAAAGTATCCATTACGCACTGATGGTGGGAACATTTCTGCAGCCACCTTTACCATAAATCTATCAGCATAGAGAATGCTTTAGCTCCTGTGAAATAAGAGCTAATGTAGAGCAACCATCTTCCTATGCAGAAAGAGGCTTGAAAAAGCTTGGCGATGCTTTAAAATGGTTGATCATGCCAGCAGGAAAGTCAGATAACATCTGCAACTATGGATATGCTGTAACAGCTGACCATGTAATCTTGTTTCTCTGCAATACCTTGCATAAGAAAATAAAGCAGCAGGAAAAACAAGTCCATGGTTTTTTTATCTATTACAATTAACTGCTTAAGTATTTGAGATGATATATCTTCTGGTTAAAGAACAAGTAAAATTATATGATAAATCTTTCTCTGAGTTTAGACAAATCAGTTGGGTGGATATCCTCAAAGTTATTTAATTAAACAAATCCCATTAGATTAGACTCTAAATTACCATATTTCTTTGAGAGTTTGACTTTCCTGAGCTTCACAACCTATCTAGATACTTTGTAAATAAAGTAATTCTTCCTTTTTTGCCCTGGTCTTTTTAGTTAGTGTGGGAACAACTTGGTAATATCAAAAGAGACGTTAGGAGAGAGATTACAAGTAAACAGATTACAAGCCACAAACTAGAAAAGACTTTAATTCTCAATCTGCACATCCCACAAGTCAGAAAATTTTTAACAGATTAAGCAGGTCCCACCTCTGCAGCTACTATAACATCTTGGCAAGAGTAACATCTGGAATCCATGCCAGGTAACTGTCATGGGGAAAAAATAATATCAGTGTTTCTACCTGCTGGAGTCTTAACATCATCCAAACCACTTATTCCTTTACCTCCCTTTGTGTGAGATTCAATAAACTGTATAAACTGTCCTAGTTTAACATCTGTCAGCAGCCAAGCACCACACAGCTGCTCACTCACTCCCTCAGCCAGG